TCTGATGCTCGTACACTCGTGATTGGAAAACATGTTCATGCATTACTTAAAACAATCTCCATACAATTGATCTGAAGTAGGCTTTTATTGACAATGAGATACATTTCTGATGTTCTGAAAAACATGGTGACCTTTATCTAATTTTTTTTAGGATGACAGGGAGAGAGAGACTCGGTGATTTGTACAGTAGGTATATATTGACAGACAGATAACGATCAGGCCTATACATCTATCTCTCCGTGTCAGCTGAAAAAAGAACAGCAGCTGTGCATCCTTCACCTCACTAGATCCGCTTCAACACGTCCGATTATCTCTCAAGTCATGTTTACTCAATACTCTGATAAATCATTCATCATCTTTTCAGGTACTTTATACCCTATGAATTACATCTTACAGAAATAAAATAATAAAAAAGATAGATCTTTACATTAAAAAGATGTATAACCTCCTGGATCAGAAAAAGAGAGTTCCATTCAAAGGTGACATTATGGACACATCTTCAGTCTTATGACCTCAGGAAGGGTTCAACACACTTTCATTTTCCAGAAAGATTTGAATACACATTCATGCTACATTTGCTTAATCTGAATACTGAATGAAATATCTTCCAATGAAAAAGCATTACCGTTGGCAAATATTCAACCTTGCCAAGTCTTCTTTAAACTCTAAGATATAATTATAATTTAAAAACAAGAGGCCCATGGGCCACATCGCTCACCTGAGAAGCTTTGACCATTCTGTTCTTTACCAGATTTTACCCTTGTCATACATAATGCATCCCCACCCTACCCCACTGATCATAATTTAGACATTTTGAAATACACTTCCTTCCATGGGCACATATGTTTCAGCTTTTTTGGCCCAGTGGTTCCTGAGAAGAAGATTCAAAGATTTTTCCTATTTTCTATGTAAAACTTTGATTCCCTATAATATTCCCCCGGGGGTCATGATTTAAAATTTAAAAAAAAAAAGCTTTTTTTCTGGCCCATTTTTCAATATATTTCTATATAAAACTTTGCAGTCAGGGTCATTATTTGAACAATTTAGAATCTAATACCAGGATATTACATACTTTTCTGGCCCAGTGGTTCTTGAGAAGAAGATTTTCAAAGATTTTTCCTATATATTTCTATGTAAAACTTTGATACCCCATTGTGGCCCCGCCCTTCCTGGGGGTCATGATTTAAACAATTTAGAATCTACACTATACCAGGATGCTTCCACAGAAGTTTCAGCTTTTCTGGCCCAGTGGTTCTTGAGAAGAAGATTTTCAAAGATTTTTCCTATATATTTCTATATAAAACTTTGATTCCCCATTGTGGCCCCACCCATCCCCCGGGGGTCACGATTTGAACAATTTAGAATCTACACTACAGAAGTTTGCTTTTCTGGCCCAGTGATTCTTGATTTTCAAAGATTTTTCCTACATATTTCTATGTAAAACTTTGACAAAAAAAAGAATCTACACTATACCAGAATGCTTCAATATCTTTTCACATTGTCAATACAGTGTATTTCTATGTAAAACTTTGATACCCCATTGTTACCCCGCCCTTCCCCCGGGGGTCATGAAACAATTTAAAAAAATTACATACAGGATGCTTCTGCATAAGTTTCAGCTTTTCTGGCCCAGTGGTTCTTGATGATTTTCAAAGATTTTTCCTATATATTTCTATATAAAACTTTGATTCCCCATTGTGGCCCCCCCTTCCCCTGGGGGTCATGAAAAAAAATACCCCAGAATATTCCACATAAGTTTTTTCACAAAATTTTTCCTATATATTTCTATGTAAAACTTTGAATTTGGGGGTCATGTAATTTACAACTATACCAGGATGCTTCCAAAAGACTGGCCCAGTGGTTCTTGAGAAGAAGATTTTCAAAGATTTTTCCTATATATTTCTATATAAAACTTTGATTCCCCATACCCCCGGGGGTCACGACAATTTAGAATCTACACTACCCCAGGATACTTTCACATAAGTTTCAGCTTTACTGGCCCAGTGGTTCTTGAGAAGAAGATTTTTTAATGACCCCTCCCTATTTTTGTCTTTTCTTGATTATCTCCCCTTGCGAGGGGATATGTCCCTTCATTTTAACAATTTAAATTCCCATTTACCCAAGGATGCTTTGTACCAAGTTCGGTCAAAATTGGCCCAGTGGTTCTTGAGAAGAAGTCGAAAATGTGAAAAGTTTACAGACGGACAGACAGACAGACGACGGACAAAATGTGATCAGAAAAGCTCACTTGAGCCTTCGGCTCAGGTGAGCTAAAAATATATTTTTTTTTAGAAATTCAAATGCAGTCAGGTATGCAATAACGTATATACATGTATTTATTCATTCATTATCATCCCAGAAGTTTGGAAGATGATTCTTGACAAAAAAAACTTTTCAAATCTCACATTGTCAAAGTAACAGTAGAAAACCATTAAAAAAAATTACATACAGTGTACTACACTGCCAGTATACTTGTTATCCACATGCATGATACCCCCCCCATAAAAAAAATAAAGTATATGCATGGTTTTCACAAAAACTTGTCAAACAATTTATGTAAACAACAAAAGACAGTCCCTATAATACATAATGTACAGGACCTCACTGAGTTTTGATCAATGGCCAGTCTTTTTCTTCCTGGTACACGAAAACAATTTTTCCCACAATGTCTTGTCCCCCTGGTGTGATTCCTCGTAGTCACTCATGACACGTTGACACCAAACAAAACTAAAATTTCTACCTGTGTCTGTAGAATTATTGAACCCTGACAAAATACTCTGTTTTTCCTTGGTTCAAAAAGTCAGAACTAGGCATTATATGTACATCAAAGCTTTTCTAAAAATTTCTCAGGCTTTTAAAATGCATGTAACTTTAAATGCAGTACCCCATCACTGATCTTAAAACCTGCTTTTTTTATTATAATAACCTCAGTATTTTATCTACGCCTTCTTTTTAATCCACACCTTCTATATTTAAAGGTACTTGTAAGAGTAAATAGAAGAAACTTTAATAAAGAAATAAAAATACTTTTTGGAATTTTCCATTCAATAAAGAACCTAGGGTTCTTAAAATGATAGAAAAATTCCTGATGAAAAAGAAAATCAATAATCCAGTCAAAATTGAAGGGGGAATTCCCGCTATCCTGTCTGTAAATATGATAGAGAGACACAGTGAGACCTGGTAATTTGTAAGTTTTAATGCGTGTTCCATCAAAAATTTAAAAAAAATTATTTCTGATCCATTACCTATGTATGATATAACTCAATGACCGTTAATCAATCAGTGAGGAATTTCATGAAACCATTGATAACTGCCATTTCCGCCCCTGTTTGGTTAATTCAAAGACATTTATAGTGCTGTCTGTCAAATCAAACTAAACTATCACTAAGTCAAGATAACAGTTAAACAAATTTAATTTTGACCCCCTGCCCTTGACTACAAAAGTCTAATAATCAGTTTTAGAAGCTGAGCAAAATTAGTGCCTAAAAGTTTTATGATCTGAATGTAGTGATTTGTGAGTCAGTATAGCATTCTGGGAATTCATTAACATCATTTCATGCCTCTGCATTTATAAAGTATTAAAGTACATTAATCGACTTCTTCAGGTGTTATGGCTCGGCTGCCCTGAAAATGAATGTGGACAAACAAGCTGGATATTTTATGATAAAACTGTCAGTGTGAAGTTATGACAAGATGGCCTCTATAGCTTCCCATTTTCCTAATGACTGCTAAATAAACTGGTCAAATTTGGACTGGCGTTAATTTCTGTTCCAATCAGACAATCTGCCTTGTATCAACAGTATCCCCAGGCCTGAACTGACCACCTAATAAACACATGTCAATGAATGGCCCAACGATAAAACACTTACCAATACCTGTAGCCACTTGACATGTTTTCTAAATGGACATTTTTATCAAGTGTCCACTTAACTAGGATGAAAACACGTACTAAAAGCTAAAAATATTTTTCCTCTATTTAACTACATTTTTTTTTATCCTGCATAATATTCAAAAGAGGGCACATTGCACAATCCAGGATCATGCCTGCTTTGAGTGATGAGATGTACTGAGGGAACCCAAGTGATAGTGAGGTAATAGTGGAAATTACAAACAAAATAAATACATTAAGACAAATTTATGTCTTATTAAAAACAAGACTAGACAAAACTCAATAAAGCATCATTAATGGCAAAGAAGATAGACACAAAAATCTATATACATGTACTACATACTCTCTATACTGTTTTGTACAGTTTATGAGAATAAAGTCTTGTCTTGTATAAAAGGTATGCTGCATTATAAACTATTATCCTGTTTAATTAAATTCTGATAACTAATTCTCTCTTGTCAAGACAAAAGGGGTCCCTGCATGAGACACAGGAATCAGGGTAGACAGAAACTGTTACAAGGACTTCAGACAAAATGTAATGGAGAATTGATGTTTTGAGACTGAATAGTGATTTTTTTTTCTAGTATACAGTGCAAATTTCACTTTATGTTCCCATAATTTCTAAGTATAAGAATAAGCATAGGTAAACAAATTGAAGTGAATTGTAGAGGAAAAGGTTCCGTGTGATAATTTATATCATAATAATGATTTAAGATCCTGCTTAAAAGGTTTTAACATTTTCTTCCATTATATGTAATTTGCCAAAACCCATGAGTAATGGTGATGTGTTCAGTGTAAAATATGCCTGCATGCATAAAAAATAAACCTGATAAAAATCTACAAATAGAATTTGTATGTACACTAATGTCAGAGTTATTACTATAAACATGTAATAAGTTTAAGCCTCACCCCCAGCAAATACCATGACATACATTATCTTATCTAATAATAACCCTTTTTCAAACTATAGCTGTTGGGCAAAATTTTCATTTCGATATTTGCATAAATCCTCAGAACTTTTCAGAAAAAAATTTGCATAAAGCAGTCATGGGTCATAAAAAAGTGAAAGATGTATTAAGCATTGCTGACAAGTGAAAGTTACGCATGCTGCAGAGAAGAGTGTTCCTTACCTATCGTCATTCATCGTAACAAACTCTCTCTGTAATTCAATGCTTGTTTGTTTCACACGTAAATTTTCACCCCTCGACATCATTCTCTCGATACGAGTGTTTCGACTTAAATTCATACTTTTTCGAACAGCACGAGACAGGAACTGGGAAATGATATGAACTGACCAGTTGTCTGGCAGTGACTGAAGAACCTGCAGAAAATAATATTTCAGATTACAAATTAGTGTGTTATCTCTCTGGGTATTTAAACTGTACTTCAATAAAGATTTCTTTACAGGCAGAATGCCTGATAATTAACAACTTCTTCTTTGTAAAATTTCAATGCACGATGCATTTTTTCTTATTCAAAAGAAGTCTCTTTTTTTATTTGAATTTTTTAGCTATGAATGCTTAAAATCATTCAATTTACACATGCATTGATCACTTCAAGTGTCAAGCAGGACATTTCCTCTAATTTACATAATTCCTAGACAATCTGCACAGAATTTGACATCGTAATTAACCCTACCTTGACAGTGTCAAAGTCTGCTACATTATTATTCAACAGCTCTACAGCAGGTTTAATTAGTTTGTCTTTTTGTCTGTCAAAAGAAAGACAACTCTTAAAATGCCACACAGAAAATTAATTTTTACATTAAACTGGGTTGCTTCCCTTTCTCTAAAAAAAAACCATGAGAATAAATTGTACACAAAAACATCATTTTAAATACTTATTTGATGCCAAATAATGTGCCAGCAGCAGTTTAAATGAACTTCTCAGATCAGATATCTAAAAGAATGACCAATCCTCTCCTCTCTACACAGACTTGTGACTTGGAAATAAGATTATTTTGTTTCTCGACAATGTATACATTCAACATACTCATAAGATGGATCCAAGTAAACATTAAGTAGAGCATGAAACAGTCGCTTCCGAACCATTGGATCCTTGCCACTTGAGTTCACCATGCAGTAGTTTTCAGCAGCACCGAAATCTTTGAGTTTGTGAACAAGAATCCTTAGCGCCTTGTCATGCTCCTCCAGCTGTGGATAGGTCAAAAATCAGTAAACCAAATAATTACTTAAATCAATTTTTATTTGAGAGAACTTTATTTTTGCGTAATTATGCGAGACAATGTGCTCAGAAAAATATCATTCTAGAGTATTTTAGCTTTCCAAAAGAGTATAGAGTAACCACAATTCGTGAAATATTTGTCTTGATAATAAGGAGTAAATGTCTATCACACAAAAAATTAGTGATCTACGGTAACTGGGAGACCATTTAACCAAATACAATATTTTATCAACATCAGAAATCAGAAGAAAATAAATAGGGATAGAAATATTCTGAGTAAATCAAGTGAGCACTAAATTGGAATACCTTGCCATAGAGAATAGCACATTCAGCATGCATATCAGTTTCTTTTGCTTTCCCTAGAATTAGCTGCACTCGATAAAGACTGGACATCTGTAACATGTGTCTAAGTTTGGATCTACAAGACAAATCAAAGTATAGTACAATGTATTTGTACTTTACATACTTAAACCAAAAAAAAAAAAAAACAAATATAATTTTTTACTGATAGAGAAGGGAACCTTTAGTTTCAGACCAGGTAACTTTAAATAACGTGAAACTCAGAGTTATCCAGCTTTTTACCTGGCTATATCTATCTGTTCCTTTTTGGCATTAGGGTCCTTCATTAATTGTAACACAGAATCTAAGTATAAAACAGCTAGGTGGGTGTGGTATTTTTCTTTCTAGATAAAAGAGAGTCTTGGACTAATATAAACTTCTATCACAACCACAGGCAATTCAATTTATACTTTTTAATCATAACACTGGCAAAAAGTATAACATCAATTTAACATTACTTTATGATACTGTTTTCTTTCTAATTTTACTTTCAAATTGTTTCTGATAGATGAAATATTCATTATTAAAGTCACCTCTAATTTTTTCTGGAATATGAGGTATTCTAAATATGATATCACAGCTTCAGGAAATCGGTGTAGATAATCAATTATGGTGTCAGGTCGCATCCTCTCAGAGGGGGGTTCACTAGAGGGGCGACTGGTAAAAATCTACAAAACAGCAATATATTGAAGTGTTAACCATAGCTTACATGATGAACATAATAAAGGTACATGTAATAGTACAGAATGCATTGAATACTGTAAACAAATTATTATACGCGTCATTTTTTATTCACGACTGACCGCTAGAGAACTAATCCGTGACGATTTATTTCCGCGAACGAGTGGTCACATTTTTTTTTATTTCCACGAGTATTTTTGAATCAAATTAAAATTTTATATCCGCCCATAAACTAGGTAAAATGGTAGCATGAGGTCTGCTTACGCATTATTCAAGACATTCTGTGCATTGCGTCCATTTAAAATCTTATATCCGCCCCTAAAGTGGGTAAAATGTTTACCATGAGTATACTTCATACACATTTTCATAACGCTCAAACGAAAATCGGGAACAAATCTAGGAGAATAAAATTGATTGAAAACTCTCAATTGTAAAAGTGCCTCATACTAATTGGGTAATCGACGCTTTCTAAGATCTACATAGCCAAGGGGCAATTATTATAAATGGTTGGGACAGAGCGGGACTGGGCCATAATTAGCCGTAATTAACCAGGCTATCTCTGACTTGTCTGTAACAATAAATGAACAATAATAACACAAGCTGAAATGATTATTGACATTTTAATCATTTTTAGACAAATAGTTTTAGATTTGCCATTCGTTTTTATTTTTTCTGAATGTTTGTAATTAAATTTCAACTGCTTCTTGTACACTAACAGTAAAGTTCTTCCGTGATTACTTGTTGAACAGTCAGGATCCGGTATTGAAAAAAGGGCAAATAACTCTAAATAAATCATGATATGGAAATGGTTCACCACGATAAATATCCGCGAGCAGAGGATACTCGCGGAACTCGCGGATATTTATCGCACGCATATAATACTTGGTTTACAGCAATAAGACACTAACCTGAACTCCTGCCTCTGGGTCTCTAGTTAGCACCCAATCTACATATTTCCACACTAACTCATGGTCACTTAAACTGGAAGAGTAAATTATCATGAACCACAATCACACACCAATTGATTTGGGAAAGAATCACTTATGAAGCTTGACGTAGTACTTACTTAGATAAATATTACTGATGTACTTACTTAAATAAATATTAGTGATGTAGTACTTACTTAGATAAATATTCTATAGCGAATGGGAGACCTGGGAATGATTCATCTTGAATTTCACCATTGACTAATCTTCAAAAACAGCAAAAATTTTCATCAATATAGATTCAATTGAATTTTGTTTTTAATCTAAATGTTTTAATAGAGTATCTAACATTTAGAGATACAGTCAAACCTTGTTATCTCAGCCTTAATGGGACTGAGAAAAACTTCAAGATATCAAAGAATTTGCCATATCAGGGTAAAATACATAAAGTGGTTGGGACTTCCAAATCACTTTGACACATCCAGTTTTATCCATGGTATTTGAGATGCATGTACCTTTATTCAAGATTACAATAAAGGTTAAATGTATACCCGGTAGTACTCATTTTTTGACAATTTATCACTAACCTTTGCCATATTCCTAATGCTTTATCATGGTCACTGTGTAGCCTATACAATAAACCTAAAGCATGATAACGTTCATATTTTCCCAGCCATTCTACGCAGTCATTTAAGTCACATCCTGAGTCATTGGATATTAAAGGAATTAAACCCTCTGAGTTCAACTCAGCATACAGTTTTAATAATGCCACATCTATTTCCTGAAAAGGAACAAGTTAGAAAAGGATTAATTATCATATTGAAAATGTACACAAAAACTTGATTTTAAATTTTAGTCTTCATCTTATTAAAAGTTCTACATGCAATAAACAATTTTCATTGGTAGAAAGTTTATATGTTTATACATGTCTTTAATAAATGCTTATTATGAGAAAACCAATCATATCCATGAATCTTTTCAGAGAGAGAGAGAGAGAGAGCTGGAAAAGGCTACCTGTTTAAACCCCATTGCTAGTTTTGTTCCTTTAATTTCCTCTAAGTATGAACACAAGAAGTCTTTATACTGTTTCACTAGATTTTGGTCTCCTTTACAGAGCTGATTAATGTCAGCTATTTCATGTAATGGCAGAGCAGACCGAGTAAAACTGCTGTTGGAAGGCAGAAACTTGGGATAAAGGCAGATAACCTGGAAAAACAATATAAACAAACTGCAGAGTTTTGAATTGTAAAAAATAATTAGCACACAATTTTAAAAGTAAATTTTGTTTTTTGTTTTAAACCTCATCTATTTGGCAGTCTTTGTCCATTTTTTACTGTTGTCTGCGTAGTACAATGCACCTTACCGGTAAATTATTAGTCACAGAACTTTTTCATTTTTATAAAAAAAAAAATTAGTTCTCACCTCTCTAACATCAGTCTCCCCACTTTTAAATAATTCTAATGCCTCCTCAAAGTTCTGCTGAGAAAATTCTATAAAAGCTGCCTGTTGCTGAAATCTCTTGTAAATCTGAAAAAAAATATATCTTGAATGTGAGCAAAGAGATTATGATGTACAGACTCTCATACTTAGTATTGCACAGTATTTCTTGACCATGTAAAATAAGAATAACTGGTAAAATTGAATTAATCGTTTTCCTATGATAGCCATTGTTGGCTGCTTATGATTTTATTCTGTAATTTGTGGTAATTTTATAAAAAGAGTTTGATGTCCTTTTCTTCAAAAAGTATGCTTAAAAAAAGGACTGATTTTAGATCATTGATATCTAAGCTTTTCAGTATGAATGAATCATGTATTTTCCTGCATTTAACAGAATTCTGAATTATCATTTTAGCTAATCCAGTCTGAAGAGTAATAATAATACAATGTACACCTGGAGAAAAATCCTGTTTTCTTCTGAAGGCTTCTCCAACAGAATTTGTTAATTTTCACTTCTGCATGAATGAAAATGGTTCATTATGTCTTATGATATTGTCACCATAAATAACTTGACAGGATAATAATTCTGGAATTGAGTTGATCAAATATTTATTAAAGATCAAGGTTTTGATTCAAAAGAGAAGAGAATAATAATATATTTAATGGATGAATTATTTGCTGAGCATTCGTTTTATTTGCATTTGAATAGAAGCTGGACTGTGTTCAAATGGAAAAGCTGACAATAGTTATTTACAAGATGTGTTACATTTCGGTTATGAAACAGAGTTACTCCCCTTTGAATCGTGTTATAGGAGAGGAAAAAAAATAACAAGCAAACCCTTTTAAATCTAACAAATCTCAAAAATATATATTATAATGATTGTATAAAAAATTAGACATAATCAACTCCATAACTAATGTCATACAATTATTCGTGAAAATAATGGAAATGTTTGGAAGAAGCACTTCTAAATCTTGTATATTGAATAAAAAGTGAACAATTACAAAATCACTGTTCAACTTGTGTAATGATTTGTACTGTAAATTCACCACTAATGTCATATACATTAGTGATAGTGAATGATAAATTTTGACACCCTAATAAGGGCTACCTCTATGTTAAAGGACATAATATAAAAGCTAATTGAACTTCTTATCTTTTGATGAAAAAGTTTGTTACCATATGGGTTCTAGGACATTTAAAATCTATTTTTACATTTAAAGTGACAATACGGCGCATCTCTTCAAAAACAGACTTGTTCAAATTTTCCTATAGGATTTGGAATTTTTTTGATACTCATAAATGTATACACTTTCAGAAAATTACAAATTTCATAAGTAAATAATTCTGATTATTTCATTAAAATTAATAATTATTTATGGTCCATAAATATATACATCGCAACGTGTTCGAGGTTCCACATTGCATGCTATCGAGCATGTGTATAGTTTTCATACACAAAACAGCATGGTAAGAGAGGGAAGCCCGGTACGCCTGCTACATTGACAAAGTCGTCCAAAACGAAAAACAAAACCAAAAATAGGGCTTGAAATTAAAAGCAACTTTGCTGACAAAAATTTAGTTGGGAGATTAATATATAATCATTGAATGAAGAAGAAACGGGATCTCAGCGACATCCATGTGGGGCTCGCGAAGGTTCTACCCTACAGGTTTGTTGATACATGCTATCATTTCTCGTATATCCATGGCTTTCAAAGAAAAAAAATCAGTGTAAACTCAACGTTAAAGTGCACTTATGACGTATAAAATTTATTGCCATTTGAAGTGCAAATTGTATTGGAACTACAGAAAGGTATTATGTTTGACATTTTGCCGCGATGACGATATGAAATACACAAAACGTTTTGTACTTAATCATGTTAAATTCGTCTGAATGCAGACTAATATGTTAAGTATTATTAATTTAACATTAAGATATTTTGATTCTCAGATTTGATTTTACTTAATATTCCATTATAATTGTAAACCCTACATTGTATGCACGTGCCAAAATTCACGTGGTACAAATAAAAGATCTAAGTTGTACGACCCTTGATTTTCCGGCAGATTCTAATTACGTTAATTTTGTATGAGGAGGGAATATTTATTTTCTCAAATGCTTAATTCAACTTTTTACCGTATTCCTGAATGATATATTGGGTAAATTTGAATGAAAAAATCACACGATTTGCAGCCGTATTGCCGCTTTAATACAATCAAAATTCAACTGAAAGAAATATTGAAACATATAGCAATATAACTCTTCTGAGAGGAAGATATGAAAAATCTTTTGTGTACATGTATTTTTAATATGCATGTTAAAGTTGGCATTTTCAGAGAAAAAAATTACAAACAAACAAAAAAATTTCCAACATACCGTATAAGTAGAAATTTTTAGCGAGGATTTAATTTTGGCATTATTAGCAAGGGTGCTGACATTGCTAAAATTGAATATCGCTAAAAATTAATTGCGTATTATTTGTAATAGCTTCTTTAGTTAGCATTTTAAAATCGCTAAAATAAAATACCAGTTCTTAGGTAGAAATCGCTAAATTTGCGTCTTGCCAAAATTTCCACTTATACGGTATATTATGAGAAGTTTTATCTATATACTGTCAGAATTAGCACATTTTTAATAAACATACATGCTATATCATGTAACTAAGTCTCCCTGCCTAAAGATGGATCTATCAAACGATGATTGGAACCTTGGCCTTTATAGATTTCTTACTGCTCTAAAAGTAAAACTGACCAGTGTTTTGTCCATGCATAGGAAGAAATTAATATTGCACTATATTTAGTCTCTAACAAAATGGTATGCACTGTTCATTACTACTTGTATGTGTTAGTTACCTTGTTTATTTTGTCTCTACTAAGTCCACTTTTATTGGCGTTTCTGGCCAAATCCAGGGCTTCTGTCACTCTCTTGTCCAACAGTAGTGCTTGTACCTACAAAATCAAATTGAAATCAACTCATTATCTCTTAGAAGCAACTGTGTCTGGGGTCTCTGGGTGAATTTAAATTATGGCATACGTGTTTTCAAGTGAGAAGACCAAAAATACTGTCACTTTTTATTAGTAAATTATGGCATACGTTTCATTCTCGTATAAAATAATTCCTTAAGATTATATAGAGAAATGACCACAAAAAATAATGCAAAACAAAATTAACATAGTACACAATACCTGTTTTTCCCATGCCACTGGAACCAGAGAATATATTTCACGGACTGATGAAATGAAGACTTTTCCATCAAAGTTTTCCAAGTAAACCCCGCCTTGGAATGGTATAGTTTGTTTCTGTTGTTGATCAAGAATGCTGGAAATAAAGGTAAGAACTTTCACAATTACTCTCTGGGTTGACAAAATATGTTGTCTCTTTTGTTTACAGAACAACTTGACACCAGGGCATGTTCATATGTTAACTACTAACAACTAATAACGAGTGTTTTTCTTTACAAAGGGGAGTAACAAGAAAAGAGTTTGTTGTTTAAGTTTAAAAAAGTAATGCCTTTCTCTTTAGATAAAACAATAACTTAAGGTTGATAGAAGAAATTGCCTGTCTATGTAATGTGGTCACTTTAATTAAGCCCCAGTATATTACCTATGAACTGTAATGAATTCATCATTCATGGCGATGATATAAGGGTGGAGGTAACTGACACTGACGATGTTGTCAGACCACTGGAGTGGAGGCCTCTGGGAAATCCCATCAGACGTCACAAACATCCCTAAAGCGCTGGGCCCGCCCAACAAAAACTCCTCCTGGAAAACAAAGGGTTTCAGGTTTGTAGTACACCAGGGTATGATATGCACTTTATGTTTAATTAGTTTTTTTTATTGTTTCAATGAATTAATGTACTTCACATGATTTTTTCTAACAATACATCAAAGTACATGTTTTTCTTGATAATGAAAAATCAGAGAAAGTAGCAGCTACCAATCAATGGGTTATCATACATTTTGAGAAAACAATTACTTTTGCCTTTCAATTTGCCAAAAAAAAATCACTTCATTTGATATAAGACAAAAATTCTGAAAGTAATGTGAAGGAAAGATGATTTAAAGTAAGAACTGCAATAATATTTCTCAAACAATTATTCTGGCCAGATTCCAAACCTTTCCAACTCTTTTGATGATTGGCCTGCAGTTTTCACTGTCGTAAGGGAACAAACTCTGTTCATATCCTGTGTCCGTGTTGATCATACTGTACTGTGATGACATGGCCACACACACAAAGGGGCTATCTATACTCTGTCAGTAGACCAAAAAAATATCAAACAAATAAGCAATGCTCTTACTCTATTAAGAAGAAATGCATATGTGTTAAAATTACAGCGTTAGCATTAACATTTACCATACTCAAAATATGGGAATTCTCTACTTTTAAATGTACATATTTAAAGCAAAAGCAATGTTATCTCCTTGAATTAAAAAGCATTTCTGACCCTTTAGAAACAGGTATGGAAAGTAAGCTGATATTCATATAATCTAGAATGCTGGTCCAAGTATTTTGCAATTCATAACCAAATAACCAAATTGTGAAAAGTGTGCATGAAATTGGGATGTCTTTGAAACATACCAATATATGTCTGATTCTTATTCGAAACGAATTTATTAACACCTTTGTAGTGACTTAAACATGCAGAGTGATCCTGGCTGACTTTGAGACAATCTGTATCTTACCAGGTCCACGGCAGGTTCTGACAAAGACACGTCCCTGAGGTGGATAAATCGGTCCTCCGTCACCGTATAAAACTGAAGCTGTTTTTTACGCAGAGCCACACAAATCTGAAATGCAAATGATTATCAAACTAAATGTACATGTATTTGAAAACAACAAAAGTACTTTAGATAGCCTTATTATAAGTAGAACAATAATAATACACTCAGTCTTAGAGCTAAAATATTAATAATAAAAATTATGTTAACATCTTTACTAACAATAAAGGAGATTCTATGCAAAATTTGTTCTATTTGCACAGTATATTTTAAATTGGAAACTTTTTGCTCGCAAAGATGCATTAATGACAGAAATGATACAAAAATATAAACACATTGTCAATGTTACTGGAAGAAAGAGAATGACTAGACTTCCTCATAGTCCCTACCTCCACACTGAATGGACTACTGTTGTGTGGGTTCTCATTAAAACAAAAGCAGTTAACTCCCTTGATCTTGGCTCCTCCCATCACTGGCTGTCAATTACCAAAATAAACTTCACTCATTACAACATTGCTTTTCATATCAAATAAGCTTGCAAAAGGTACTTGTATACAATAAATATTACAAAAAAAAGTTTTTTAAAAAATGAAGTCTTTCTTTTTGCAAATTTTGAATTTACATGTTCAATATATTAATGAATGGCTACAATTATTTGACAAGAAGACACAACTGTAGCTGTTCCTTCAAGCTGAGGCTTACCTCCAGGTCTAACATGTTCAGCATGGATATTGTATTGTCACATAGCACCATGATTCGGTTCAAGGCAGAAGCAGATTTAATTTGAATTATTGGTTTTTTCTAAAAAAAAAAAAAAAAAAAAAGGTTTAATTATACATCAGAAAGATTATACATCAGAATGTTCTTTCCCTTTATAAATTATGAAATATATCAACTTCCATGAAGTACATCTTAAAAATTATACAGGTTTTTCACATTTAATTTATAAAGTTGCTTATCATTGCTATTGAAAAAAATGACAGTGAAATAAAAAGATCTACCACAATGTATTTTAAACATTAACCCTAGTTTATTTTTATCTTAACTTGACTTCTTCTTTTTTTTTTAACACTTATTAAAGCTAACTGTTCAGATTATCTCATGTATCTGTGGACATTGAAGGGTTTTGTTTTTTTTTGTATACTTACAAGAGCAAGATATTTGTGTCCTATTTTATCACAGTGAAAGGTGACTTTTCCTGATGTTTGATTTCTTTCTTCAATTGTGTAATGGACAACAAAGCTACAACACAAGACACATCATCCTATAAATTTCCAGTACAGTTGTATATCATTATAAACATTGAACCCGTAAATATCACTTATATGGGTGACAGAAAGAGAGAGAGGGACTCAAAAATAAAGTTTGTAATTTTTTTTAACATTTTTTATTGTCAATCTGCTGACTTTAAAGCTAATGAATTACAATTGGGACCATGCATAGTATGCAGATAGAGGAACACATGAATATACAAACCAATCACTTGTTCCAATGTACAGATTTTTACCGCAGACATCAATACAGTCCAACTGAAATTACATAGTAATACAAAACTGTCAATGAAACAATAGGAAACAGAATCTTAATTATATATTAATAAACTGTTCATAAAATTGAAAAGAATCCCTTAGATCTATTGATGTTAAGGATATTTTTTTAATTTTTCATAGATCATTATAGCACATGACAATACCATAAACATTCCTTCGAGGGTGATTTTCTTCATATTAAAAATGAACTTGTCCATTCCTATCTCTACCAAGTATGGTTGTTTCAGATTTTTAATATCTCAATTTCAGAAACAAGTGAAAATCAACACGGGGTTTTTATTATAAAAATAAAGGCCTATATTAAAAAAATTAGAGAATCAAGTTCAAACACACTATGTGACACAGTAATTTCTAGCGACATACTAGGGCAGTCTACATGTTTATGCATGGTTCATCATAGCTATACGCGTTCACTGCAGACTATACTTATGTTGAAATCATGAATTTATGCAATGTATAATCATCAAGTGGAAGATTCCCACTAGTACTAGTCATTTAAATAACACAACCGCTGATCTTCATCAGCATCCTCAGCCTTACCTGAGTTCTAGCCTTTTCTGACATTAACTTGATCCGCTCAACGACCGGAACAAGTTCGAATGCTTTGATGCTCATTTTTGAGTTTAAGACTTGGACAAATTCTGTTAAAAATAATGATTTAGGGGAAATTATCATCCAACATCAGAATTCGTCTGGAAAACTGTATGGAGGCAGCCATTTTCCATTATGCGCCATCTGTCACTTCCGCTGAAAACCTCCCACCTCATAAAGGGCATTAACTATGTAACTGACCTCATTCGATAATCAAAAAAAAAAAAAAAAAGAAGGAAAAATAAAGAAAAAATGGGGAAAAAAGAAATATAAAAAAGAAAAAAAGGGAGTAAAATTATTTTTTGCATTTTTTTATTTATAAGAATGTAGTTCGTGTTTTCTTTCCTTTCTGTTTGTTTTCTAATTTTCATTTTAACATTCCCCCCCCTTTCCTTTTTCATATAGGTATTTTTCCATGTTTCACGACTCAAACTAAGATGTGTGAGATATCAATTATTTGGTGTTAACAAATAAACTGCTAAATTTAAGGACGGAATAAACTATTTCCCATGTTAAAATGTAGATGGATGTCTTTTCATCCAAAAAAAAATGTGTGTTTTAATCCCTGCAAGAATTAGATTTGATGCAAATTTGTTTGAAATTGGCCATATTTTTTCCTTTTTGGGGGAGAATTTCTCATTTTCCAACATCGGTCAATTAACTACCTTTCACTCCCTGATTCTAGGCACATTATTTAACTAATCTATATATTTTATTTATAAGTTGAAAATATGAAAAGTTTCTTTTAAAACACACACACACACCCTGACACACAAACACTGGACAGATTTCAGTTTCAAAAAAGCTGAAGTTTTTGGCTCAGGTGAGCTAAATTAAAGCATAAAAAGTGAAACTATGTCTGACTCAATAGAATGCATTCAATGAATTTATTAGTTATTTATTATTATTTTGTATACATTGTAAATTATTTATTATTATTTTGTATACATTGTAATAATTGGTCAAATTTCATAAAGAGTCGAAAATTCATTGTGCATTTTGGTCTTTTTGTGGCAATTTCTTAACATTTTTTTTTCAGCAAAAGTTTGTCATACAATCTAAATTTATCATGTTATCTCGAATCATACTCGTACAATATCATGTAAATATTATTATGCCTCATTATAATTATTCTATAAAAGGCATCATATGATTGGCTCAGAAAAGACCTTTTTGAAAGTAAATTACCTTCTAGAAATGGCTGCAGCTGGATTTAAGTTTTGAAATGGAGAACCAAATTATAGGCAGTGGAACATTATTTTGAAGAATTTTGTACTAGAACAAATATTGTTATATATCATTGATGATACATTTAACCAATTATATAAACATATAATTATTCTGCATTCTAGAAGCATTTTCTATCATTTGGTAATTGGTTTCATTAAAGCAAACACGTTTCTGGAAAAAATTTTAGTTTATTTCTCCAAATGTATATCAACAATGTGAAAACAATTTGACACAGTGTACATGTCTAGCACTTGTAAATAAGCACTTAATATGAATAATATTCATTTGTCTCATCAAAATAACAAAATTCCATGATTAAATAACAAAATATAATTTCATGGAATCACGAGAAAAAATCTCTCATTTCCTATCCAATAATCACATTGCCAAATTCGTAAGTTATACTGAAACACCTGACAGTGTTTTAAAGTCAAAATTGAGGTTATTGTGGTGAGACCATTTTAAAATTGTGAAAACAGAAATTTACAGAGGAATAATCTTTGAAGAGAAATGCATTAAAATGCATATTATTTAAATTTTCCTTCGAAAGTAAGAACATGACTGCAATCTGAAGAATTCAGAATTCAGCATCAAACGAAAAATATCTATAAAGTTATTCCTTGATGAAATTTCTGATTTCATAATGATGCATATACATGTATAATAACGCCATTCCTCATTATGCATGTATCAACATAAAAAATACAAAAAAAGCTTCCTTTTTTGAAAGAGACATAGACTCTTCACCCCAAATATCAGACTTTATCTGATTTTACATCATACAAGTGGACACAAATCTCAAACTCTCCCATTCTCATAAAATGGACTCATGATAGCAAATGGAAACAATATAAAACTTTCACACACAACAATATTGTTACAATATTCAAAGAGCCTGTCTCCTACACTTATTATTTTTTCTTGATTCTGAGATGGAAGCGAAGACTTTTTTTTTACTTCAAGTGAAGGCTTGCATTCTCTGACATCCCCCCCCTCTCTCTCTCTCTCTCTCAGTGTACAATAGGCAATGTATTAAGTAATGTCATCAAGAATTACTACTCTTTTTGATTAGAGATACAATGATTAAGATACAGTGATCAAATTCGTATTTACTATTTGCTATTTTGCTATACTACAAATAGCATGACAATTCTAAAAATGAATATACCTTAAGTTGCTAATTAACATTTTGAAATTCTACATAGCCTGTTGGGAAAAAATGGCACAATCGACAACAAATAAGGGTTTTATAAGGCAACAAATCCATATATAATTTAACATTATCTTTTAATTCTGAGAAATCATAAAGAATAAATACACATTAAATCAAGAAAATCTTCAAAACAGTTTTCAATGTCATATGGCTTTTAAAAGAAGAGTATCTACAACATTTTTTTAAAAAATGAATTTATATTACTGTGGAAAGAACAAAAAAATGCTATGGAAGACAATGGGAAAATGACCATGCTGATATATCCTAATGCCCAGTGAATTCAGAATTTAAACACTATGTTTAATGAAATACTGATGCACCCTTATAGGCCTAAATTCAAAGTTTTTCAAATGTAGGTCAAATTACTAGGATAAGATCAAGATTTCAAAATTCTAAAGGGGTGGTTTTGTAACAAGAATATAAAATATGAGAGCCCTGGAGGCAACTGTTCAAAATTTATGACCAAGGTTATAGTTTTTTAGAAGTACTACCATCAGTAAGTCAAACTCCAAGGTCAAAGCTTTAAAGTCAAAACTTTTGGTAACCAGAGAAATGTCTGGATACATGCAATGCACATAAAAGCCTTAGCTCCAATTGTTTGAAAGTTATGACAAAGATTAAAATTTAGTAAACTTTTGCAAAAGTAAGTCAAAATCCAGGATAAAATGGTCAAATATGTTGGAAACTCAAAAAAAGGACTTGTCACAAGAAATTTACATGTGAAATATGAAAGCCCTAGCACCAAAAGTTTAAAAGTTATGGGCAAGGTATTAAGATTTTGTTGGCAAATAGACTGACCCAAAACTAAATTTCCCTGCATCTTTGAATAAAGGCATATAAAAAGCATTACAATCAAACTTAATGCAGGCATTGTGATCCAACATATTCATATTAATTTACAGAAAATGAAGGGTCACTTTAACAACTGAACATGCTTCTTAAAAAATGAACATGAATTTGATACACCTGAGCATAAACTCTGTATAAAAAAGGCATGCATTTTTGATAATCAGTTTTCAAACTAAAAGCACCCCCCCCCCCCAAAAAAAAAAAAGAAAGGGAAAAAAGAAAGAGGAAAAAGCACAAACAAAAGCATGATTTATAACTCATTTCACTTTCAACCTTGACATAGACATCTTATTATAATCAGATCACATAAGTCTTAACAACTACCTTTAAATTTTCAAATGCATATATGCAGAAAAAAACATGTATATAAATGTACATGCTCCTGACTTAGCCATACTTTTATGGCAAATGTTTTCCCTAGAGGTAGCTGAAATATAATACTGGCCCAAGACCAGATCTCTCACTGATGACATACTGACAACATGGTACAGAAACAGATCAGACTAATTCTTCCATACAAACACATCTGATCCACTCAGTATTTATTGCAAGTATAGGTCTTGGACTGAGCAATCAATGAACAAAAAGCCTAATATAGCCCATCATTATTCTTTTCGGACCTCTTCCATTTTTTCCAAAAGTTGGTCAGCAGCCTCAGCATTCTTCACGCGAACCAACATGGCAACAGGCTTATTATCTTCATCCTTGGGATTAATTTTGGGATTAGGAACACAAAAAATGTATACATTGTTTGTCCCTTGCCTTTTCAGTGGAATTGATGGTGAAAGCATGATATTCAACAGAATGTTACCTGAAATTGGAAAATTATTATTAGATATTTCTATATTAATGGAAAATTATCATTAAATTTCTCTAAATTAATGTCACATAGCAGGTTAGGTGATTTCCCTTAATTTAATTTCAGCATACCTAAATTAGTGTCTGCTCTTACAACAAGCTGGGCTTTGTCATCAGCTTTCTTCAGGTGCAGAAAACCAACTCCTTTTTCATTCCACTTGCCATCTCTTTGGTAAAATAACTTGCATCTGAAATAAATTTTAACTATAAGTGAACAGAATATACAAGTAGATTATAATTAATTCTACTAAGGATATTGTAAAAATCAAAGAGATGCCAATAGCCATTATTCTTGAACAAATCAAAAAAGTCATTGACAAATTATCCAAGACTTCATGACTATTGGGGTATATTTTCCAACAATTACTCCAAAGTGGGAATTATTTCTTCAGTTAATTTAAAAATATCCTTAAAATTATGCGGCTTTTTCAGAAAAGCATAAAGTCAAGATATAGACCCCCCTTCTGTAAGAACTTACTTAACAGAGTATAATGACCCTATTCCTTAAGAACTTACTTCACAGAATATAGAGACCCCTCTTCTCTAAGAACTTACTTAACAGAGTATAGAGACCCTCTTTTGTAAGAACTTATTTTACAGAGTATAGAGACCCCTCTTCTGTAAGAACTTACTTAACAGAGTATAGAGACCCTCTAATGAAAGAACTTACTTAACAGAATATTGAGACCCCTCTAATTATAGAACTTACTTAACAGAGTATAGAGACCCACTTCTCTAAGAACTTACTTAACAGAGTATAGAGACCCCTCTTCTCTAAGAACTTACTTAACTGAGAATAGAGACCCCTCTTCTCTAAGAACTTATTCAACAGAGAATAGAGACTCCTTCTTCTGTAAGAACTTACTTAACAGAGTATAGAGACCCCTCTTCTGTAAGAACTTACTTAACAGAGTATAGAGACCCCTCTTCTGTAAGAACTTACTTAACAGAGTACAGAGACCCCTCTTCTGCCACTTCCGTACTTTCTACTTTAGGTGGTTCATACTCTTCATCATCTGAAGAAGAAAAATCTATCACATTAGGCAGCTAGATAAAATATTACTTAACAGTCTTAAATATGGGTCAACATATAGATTTTAACATGCAAAATCTACTGAACATTTGTAAATCTTATTATCTGGCAGGATTAGTGAATTAAACCTTCAGTATAACTGACAGTGAGACCTGCCTTGTGTAGTGGATGCTCCAGTGGCATCTGTTGAAGTGGTTGGTTTACTAAAAAATCCTGGACCAAAGGAGGAGCTAGCTGTAGTAGTGGAAGGAGCGAATGAGAATCCCTTTCCAGCATCTGCTGTGGTACTGCTACTCCCAGACCCAAAACTGAAACCAGTTTTTGGAGCACTGTCTGTTCCACTATTTGTACCAAAAGAAAATCCAGATGAAACAGAACTAGATCCATTTCCAGTTCCAAACTTAAATCCAGATGCAGGTGATGTTTCACTTGTTCCACTTTTTCCAAAGGTAAATCCTGATGCTGGTTTCTCTTCACCTTTTCCAAATGAGAACCCTGATGTTGTGGACTTTGTGTCCCCTTTCCCAAACGTGAACCCAGAGGAAGTGGTGGTGTTAGTTGTGCCACTGCTTTCAAACTTGAAGCCACCAGTTGTAGCGTTGCTTTCACTTGTTCCAAACTTTATTCCTGTATTGGGAGAACTACTCTCACTTGTACCAGTGCCAAATTTAAATCCACCATTGCTTCCAAATTTGAAGTCTGATGCTCCTGAAGTATGTGTAAAAAATTAATTTTAAAAGTTTTTCTCCAAGAAAAAAAAATTCATTTGTGATACTTAAAATGTCTCTTTTTGAAATAAAAATGAAAGAAAAAGTGAGCAAGCTCACATACCCCACGCTCCCCCAAACCTCAAAGTGCTGAAAATCGCGGAAAAATTAAAGGAATCTGAATTTTCCGGTAATATGCACATCTACACATTGTGTCCTAAATATCTGCAAAGTTTGACAAAATTCTGTGCAGCGGTTTATGAGGAGTTGTGCTGACTAAATGTTCATCTCTATATTCAAGGTATGAACAAAAATCTAAGTTGTAAAGTGCCGAAATTCCCAGAAAAATAAAGGAATCAGAATTTCCTGGTAATATGCACATCTACACACTGTGTCCTGCTAGGGCTGGGATGATATATCGAGATATGGATATATCAAGATATCTCTGAGGACAATACGCATATCGATACATATGAAGAAATATCGAAATATCGCCCAAAAAATCTGATTTCTGTTTTTCTTTGTTTATTTAACATTTGGGGTTTAATATATAAAATAAATATTAAAGCTAAATATAAATATAGATATGAAATAAATAATAATTAACACCACTTACGTAAAATATTTTTGTTTTTCAACATGTAAAAAACTATTTTGAATAAATTATTCTTATTTGCAAAGAAATAATTTGTTTATTTCAATGCAAAAAAAGATTTTATAAGCAATTAAACATATCGTGATACATATCGTATCGTGGCTCAAATATCATGATACATATCGATATACAGTACTGTTAAACGAGAATATTTGGCCCACAGCTATTTTAAGCGCCTTTGGCGCAAGAGCCCTTGAACGCTAAAATTTATTGTGCGCTAACGAATTTCTAAATATTATATGTTACAGTGTGTGTTCAAAGCTTTCTAAAAAGTAAATGTAAATCTGAACGCCCAATTACGTAATACCGAGGTCGTTGGATTTTATATACACACTAGCACTGTACATGGTAGAATCTATCGAGGAAGTTCTGCCAAATTATATTTTAATAAAACTATTGTTACCACTGTAGTTATTACCCGTTACTTATCATTAGCACCTTCAAAGTTTGGCTTCTCAGCGTGTCAATCATCTATTGCCTCGAGGTAAACAATGCAATCAAGCATGGCGATTGCGCTTGCAGACAATGCCTGATTATGATGACCGTATGATTATCCAAGTAACTTTCTTTCGATGCATGTATTGTTTTAATGTGAATAAAATGCGTAAATACTCCATTTCTTTTATTTAAAATAAAATTAAAATAATTTTTAACTGTGTGCCACTTGTGTTTGCGCTAAAATTCTTATGCGCCAAATTTTCTCGTTTTACAGTAGAAAAAGTTGTATCATCCCAGCCCTATGTCCTGCAAAGTTTGACGAAATTTTGTGCAGCGGTTTAAAAGGAGTTGTGCTGACAAACTGTTCATCGCTATATTCAAATATGGCCAAAAATCTAAGTTGAAAAGTGTGGAAATTCCCGGAAAAAATAAAGGAATCGGAATTGCCTGGTAATATGCAAATCTACACATTGTGTCCAAAATATCTGCTAAGTTTGACGAAATTCTGTGCAGAGGTTTAAGAGGAGTTGCGCTGACAAACTGTTCATCTCCATATTCAAGGTATGGCCAAAAACCAAGTTGAAAAGTGCGGAAATTCCCGGAAAAAATAAAAGAATCAGAATTTCCTGGTAATATGCACATCTACACATTGTGTCCTAAATATTTGCAAATTCTGTGCAGCGGTTTATGAGGAGTTGCGCTGACAAAAAATAGGACTGACAGACTGACTGAGGGATGGGTCAAAAACATTATACCTTACACAACTTGTTGCGTGGGGTATAAAAATATATTTAGACACAGCAGTCTCTTTCTGGAAAGTGTGACATTAGTCTATTCAGCATAAATCAAGTTCATTTCAAATTGATGATGCAGCAGTACAATTTTCTATAGAATACCTGTTAGAAATTGCATGCTTATGGGTATACCTGTACTGTTTGTTTTGGGGGGTGAGGCCCCTCCCCCAGGTTTACTGGTCTGACAGGCCACACATTTACTGATGTCCGGTTTGTTCTGAATCATACACGTGTCACACGTCCAAGTTCCTGCTGCGGGCTTGAACAAGGCTGACAGACTTGGCTGGGAATCCTTGTTTGCTGGAGCTAAAAATGAGTAATTGTTATAAGCAAATTTCGATATAAAGAGTTTCATATAAAAGCATTGCAATGCAATGAGTAAAAGCCACATCGCAAAGTCAGTGAAAAGGTAATTTTCATTTGCTGAAAAATCTGTAATATCAAAGTTCTAGCCAAAATATCTTTAATTATCTGTCATAATACTGTTAACAGACTTTTTACATGGGATCAAGATTCAGCAACATCACAACTTCAATTCTATCTATAGATCGGAATTTAGAAACTTTAGCAAACTTCTTGTACATGTATTACCATTGTGTTTCTTTTATGCACTGGATTTTGCTGTGGCAAATTCCTGCAGAATTTCTAAGATCACATCATTAGTATACATAAATCCCCAGAGCTCCAGATAATTTTTTAACCCAAAGTGTATTTACTCCCTGATTTTAAAATCAATGCAGATTTTGATTTTCAGCAAAATGACTGAAGAGTATTTTGTTTATATATAAACGTTTTGACCTTTATTTTGATTTTGAGCTTGTAATCGAAGTATGTGTTTTTGAAGAGGGAAAAAACTATAAAGGTCGGTTCCTGCATTTATTCAAATAAATTTTGCAAATACCAACAAGACTTTTTGCTAAGATTGGGAAGCATTCTTTTTTGACAAGGAAGATTATACAGTAGGTTAAGGTACCATAGGGTCAGAGAACTTTTCCTTCATTTAAGATATCGTATCAAGAGTAAACTGAGAGAAAAGAATCTTCGTTAACATGGCAAGTTGAGAGACACGAAAAATTGGCTATGAACCCATAATAAAAAAAATTATGCCAAGTGCATAGTCTTTCTACATAGAAATTGATTTTAATCTAAATCTCTGATTCTTCCTTCCGAAATGGAGATCGTCATCGTCATTACTAGAATATTCCTGGTCACTAAAAGGCTTTTAAATCTGTACTTTGTTTAGAGAAAAAATCAAATGCTGAGTTAACCTCAATTCGTATCATAAAGCAGTCGTACCTATATTCTTCAACTTGTTGTACGCAGTACTTTCATGGTGTAATGCATATCTATGATTGCTAATGCGTAATTGTATGCTCTATTTTAATTTTCAATGCATATTTTGTAAAATTTAATGTGTATTTCTGCAAATACACACCTTATCTGTAGCTCTGATCCCACCTAGATAACAGATGTAACTATACTATTTGAACTCTCAATATATTTTTAAAGGAAAGAAGTATATTGAATTTTTCTTGTTCGATCACATACAATAGTGTAACTGAGGATAACAGTAGAACTAGACGTAACTGACCTCCACTGCTAGTCTGAGATGATGAGGCCCCTCCCCCAGGTTTACTGGTCTGACAGGCCACACATTTACTGACATCTGGTTTGTTCTGAATCATACACGTGTCACACGTCCAAGTTCCTGCCGCAGGCTTGAACAAAGCTGACAAGCTGGGCTGGGAATCCTTGTTTGCTGGAGCTAAAAATTAATAAACAGATAAATCAACTATAAAATCTCACATGGTTATCAACATTTCCCAGAGTTCTTGAAATCTTTTTTCGCTGTCAGTCATTTGGACTGACTGCCATGTGAAGTTTGTCAGTCCAGACAGATTTTTATCAGTCCAAAAAAAAATTCAATAAAAAGATGAAAACTTTATTTGAATTTTATTATCAATATATTGTGCACCCTGTGTCAATAAACACTGCAAACTTCATGCTGATTTGATCGTCAGTTTTCTTTGAATTATCTCAGGGGTCGATTTTCTTCATAGGTTTTTAATCTAGTTCGATTTTCTCACCTGGCTTACCGAAGCACAGTCAACAAACCTGAGGCCTGTTTAACAGAGCGAGCGCTTGCGAACATTTCTTTAGTTAAGGAATTTTGGCGAGCGCTCACGAACATCCACTTTAATGAACAGGCCTCTGTTTTATCAGTTTACCAATCACAGTTTGACACTTGCATTCATCGAAGAAGCCATTACAAGATGCAGGAAAGCATTTGAAAGATTACGATCGGACGGTTATAGGGAATTCGTACGAAATTTAGTCGGATTTTCACAAGTTCCTCTGTCAACACTTACCGGTCATTCCGACTGACAAAGAACGGAAAGTAATCAGTCCTTGGTTGTTTTTATCGGTCTTGCCGACAGGACCGAAGATTTCAAGAACTCTGATTTCCTAATATGCTTTTCAGGAAAAAAAACAAAACAAAAAATTTTTCACTCATAATCACATGAAAAGTAAACAAATTCAAAGTTGACAAGTTGGTAAGCACTAATCTCTCACAAATAATTGAATGCTCGTAGACATGAAAACCTTAATAAATAGAATCACAAACCTGAACTTTTCGCACCATTGTCTTTCACTGAACTTTTAGATATACTAGAGTTTGACTTGTCATTTTCGATGGTCTTGAGATGCTTCTCGTAATCTGTGAAGATTGGTGTCAGGATGCAGTACGGATTTTTCTCCACGTGCTGCTTTATCCAGGCGAGGACGCTCTCGTTCAGACTTCTCAGATTAGACATGTATTTACTGTTGTCCTCCTTCTCATTTTGATCCTTCTTCTCCTCTGGTTTTTCTGGGATTCCGTTCAGCTTTGTAGCATTGTCCTCCATAGGCTTTTCTGTTTTTCCATTAGTGAAAGACTTGACATTCATGTTAAATGGTGTACTCGTCTGTGTAGGCTTGAAGGCAAATCCACCAAAACCAGAAAATGCCGAGCTTCCACCAGTACCACCCTTGAATAGAAAAGCAAAGATACATTATATACACTATGCTCATCATTTGTTATTTAAGAAATAAAATATCATTTTTAGAGTTTCATTGGGATATGACATGAAGTTGGTCACATGATCAAATTCTATAATGCTATCAACTTCAATGAAATTCTAAAAAAAAAAAGGGTGTTAAAGAATACAAAAGTTTTAAGATTATCCCTTGGTGTGCTCTTTTGTTAAGAAGGGGGGTTAGTTTCCGCATTTGATAGGTAGAACAGTTACATTGCATCATCGACAAACTATCATAACTGATTCAGATTGTTGTGATGCACTCTTCAACTCGAAAATTACATAATTTATGTAGAGACATCAGTTTTTCTCTTTACCAAAATATAAACACAAGAAAATAGTGGGTGTAAGATGTTTCAGTTGAGAGAGGAGATATGGATCTTTAATAAATACACATGCATCTGATTAATGGAAAGCCAGCATTTTGATTAACACAAATTCTTTCCCTTATTATTACTTCAAAGAGCCCCCCCAACTTTTTAGAAAAAAGGTTTGTACAATCAAAAAATTCATTTATTTTAACAAAGACCATGACATTTCTTTTTTTTCAAGTATACGTACATAAAATAGATTTTGTAGATATGCATACTTGAGTTTAATAAAATAATCAAAAGCATCACTGGTTAGCATTATCTTCTTTCTATAACCATGATAACAAATAAATTTTATAAGCCAAAGCCATTGTTCATTTTAAATATGCACGTTTGTCTACATTAACAACATGTACAACTTCCATGCTGCTATTCATACTTTTTGTGCCTCTATCATAAGAGAATTACAATCTCCAAACTTGCATATAAGAACATCTCTAAATTTTAATCTGAATTTAATTTTTCCTGTAACAGGAAAGGAGAAAATGTATGGCTGGACCGGGAATCGAACCCGGGACCCCTTCATCTCTAGTCAGGTGCTCTACCAACTGAGTTATCCCGGCCGATATCCACGGCCCAAACCATTACAATCTCATTAAATGCTGGATAATGGTTCTGATTTACCTCATGTACAATTATTTCATGTATATTTGTTCTGATGACGACCGTCTCTGGTCGAAACCGGTCAACTAAATAAATTTACTGCTGTATTCTCACAAAGTGTTGTGATCTGTTTTATATCTTCTAGCTTGATTTAGAATAAAGAAATTTCAAGCCATCTAGAGCCACCTGTATATATTGTTCAAAACAAAAATTACCACAGATCCTCTACTCCTTTTAGCTGTCTTTATCTGTCTCTTTTCTAGTTCTGCTTTAGATGCCACAGAAAATGTTCCAGCCTGTAAGATAGAAACACATTATTGTTTACTTAATATCAATATTGACCTCATATTTGTACACTGTAGGATGGAAATTCCTCATTTTACAGAAAGTAGAGAACTGTTACATTTAACAAAAACGGTTCGAAAAGAGAGATTGTGGTAAGGGACATCGAATGGGAATCTTTTAATTAAAATGATATTCCAAAACCAAACAGGACTATTTCGGACCATTGAAAGGTAAATGAAGTATCAAGCATAAGAGTAAAATATATGGTTAATTATCCGATGCCATTTTTAAACCTGGGGAAGGCATAAAATACAAGAAAAAAACTGAAGTAGCGACAAAAAATTCTGCAGCATAAATCAAAGGTTTTTACAATGTTTGGACCTTTAGGTCTCTGCTTTATCTGTCCAAATTTTCTCAAGCAGAGAACTACAGTTCTTCAGCTAGCTACGAGTTAGATATAAATTTGACAGGTTGGGCACAGCCTACCAAATGGTACTTAATCCCCCGTTTGGTAGATAATCTACCATATCGGTAACGAATTTTACTAACCAAATGGGGGACAAAATTGGTTGTGTTTAATTCCATGGACTGGAGTGGAATTTCGCATAATTTTAAACCATGTGGAATAAGATATAGATATTTATCGGTGGTCTGGGTGAAAAAAATCAAAAATTCTATGTGCAATTTTTTGCGCACAGTCGTTCAAAAATTTGACAAAAAACGTAGCTTATGTAAACAAGTGCAATGTTTCTCCGTTTTTTACTTTAAAAGAAAATTCTCTCCTTCTCCAACGATGCTGCACCTGTCACTCATGTCTTTTACTTTCTTTTTCCATTATCCGGGCAACCAATCAATTAGTGCAAACCAATCAAAACGATGATCTTTTTTCAAGCCTAATGAAAAGTCGGATGTAACTACGGAGGCACATTTGTGTTAATTTTCAACTAGGAAATCGGAAGAAAGATAAGTTTTGCCTTCATTTCTTTTTATTTTGAAAACAATGGCTTTGTTCTTCATAGAAATAGTAAATGTAGTTGGAATTTGACATAATTATTGTTTTAAAACGATGTACTTGGAACAATAACAAGAATAATGGCAAACGTCATTTTGTACATCTTTTATTGAATATTATTTTTCGATTTTATTAAATTCACCAGTAATATGCATATTTAACCCCAAAAGGTCGCATGGAATCTGCAACTTCATCCTCAGTCTTCACGAAAACTCACTGGTCCGAAGACCGAGGCCAGTGAATTTTGAGGTCGGGTCAGTGAAAATCAAAATTCAAGAAGTCCGATGGGCTCGTTGATCATAAAAATCATACAGTCAAAATTTATTTCAACTGACTTACTTGTGTAAATTTCATTAATATATAAAATAAAACGAAGAAGCTCGTGTTGTTGAATCCTATTATTATAACCCTATTATAACATGGATGTATTACGTAACAACCGGAAGTAGCTAGTAATTATTAACTAGTACGTAAAATGTGCAAAGTTCCAACGAACAACTTACCGAAACGCGACAAAGGACGAAAAATGGCGGCATTTCAAAAGTTGAAGTATGTAAACATGTATAAATTTACAGTTATGAAAATGTATTTATTTTCTTTTTTTATGAAAGGGACCAGTAAAAATTTTGGTGGGCTAGTATATTTTGAAAGTTCACTGGTCCGACTGGCCAGTTAGTTTGAAAAGTTTTCGTGAAGACTGCATCCTAAAAGAAAAATGACAACAAATATTACGTACAACTCTGGAAAAAATAACTTTATAGCAGGAAGTGCCCACCATACCGGTAAGGCATGAGGAGCTCGTGTTCAACAGGATTTTATGGAGATAAACATTGACGAAGATCCAAAAAAGATTGAAAGTTAACTCATCAAGAGTTAAATCACTGTATAAAATTGGATTTTTATCCAAAAAGACACAATAAAGATTTTTTTTGGTCGTTTGATCAAGAAGTTCGACTGTTACAGACAACTATGGGTATTGTTTTTACGAAGTTACGGAGAAATTACACATAGAAATTCAACCGATTTTTGTTAATTGTGCGAGGAATATGTTCACTAAAATCCCCCAATGCCTAAATAAATGCGCTTTTGTTTTATTTTAATAAACATTTCAATAGAATAAAAAAGTCCCCCATTTGGTTAGTAAAATTTGCTACCGATATGGTAGATTATCTACCAAACGGGGGATAAAGTACCATTTGGTAGGCTGTGCCCAACCTGTTTGACTCATGAGTTAATATGAGTCAGTCTGGTTATGAGTTGATTAAATGGGTTCATCAGATAACTTGGATATAAGTGGGTCTATGTAATTGGTTCGATAAGACCTGGTTATAAGTAGGTCTGACTACAAGTTGACCAGAAACCTTACCTCTTCCACATCATCCTCCTGATCCCAATTCCTGTCTGTCAGTTCTCTCTCAGCAACACGTTTAGACATTTTGTAGATTAGAATATTTTCACCTACAAACACAAACATATTTTTTTGCTACTAATATTATTTCTCTAAGAAGATTAAAAATTAATTTCTTTGCAATCACACTAAACACTTCTAAAACATTGTAAAAATGCATTAGTGTCTTTTAAATGTACTTTCCACACAGAAATTTAAATCCAGACAAAAAACAATGCCTCGACTCTTATCTTTGATATCATTACGCATTGTACCTTTGTTTCTGCTGTATATGGAAAAACTTTTTAAGTTCAAATTAGGTTCTCTTGTTCTATTCTCTTTTTAGCACATGGAGGCTGACATTTTGAACTACTTTTTCTTTGGCGGATATAATCATCCGCCTCTGAAGAGAAACGTTGCAATATTTGGAAATTTCTCGACATGTAAATCTAGTTGAAACAGTGTTTTATTTTAAAAGTTTTCTTATTAATTAGAATGGCAGTGCTTATCTTTTATAATAAGGGAAACTATGGAAAAGGAAAAAAATAGTCCTCAAGTAACTCGTACTTTAAATGTTTCGTCAATTCAAAGAGTAATTTGTACAGAGGCCCATGGGTCATATCGCTTACCTGAGCAAATTGGCTAGAAAATTAGTCTTAAAAAGATTATATGTATGTGATTACATATACCCCTCACTAGTGAAAAGGGGCTATGATTTATTCACACTTGAATCTACAATGAGGATGCTTTCATATTTCTTTGACTAAGCATAGCTTTAAAATTTATAGAAGCTTTTTTCACTATAAATGTTTGATCTTCTATTGTGGTTGCGCCCTACCCGACAGGGGACATAACTTGAACAAATTTGAACATCCCTTACCTGAGGATGCTTCTGAATTTATATATCTCACGCCTGCTAATCGATCAATTGCACAACCAGCAGTTGTGTATAACAATCAAAAGAGATCGATTTCCGGTTGTGCAATTGATGCGAATAATTCCAGTACACAGGTAGTAAATGGACCCGATTCAGGCAATAATTGATATTTTTATTAAAATATAAGAATGTGATTCCATGAGCAATTTATTTTTCTTTAATTTTACACTCTCATAAAATGCAGTGATTGTCGATTAGCGACGATATTTGTTTTGAAGCAAGGGCTGGTAGAGCGAAAACGCTGATTGAAAATAGTATTCGCCGACTAAAATTCGTTTTAATCTCAACTAACCTTGAAAATTCAATGTCCACCATGAGTATGCTACAAGTGCATCCTATCCACCAAAATTGGGACTTCGATATGTGTATAATTTGACAAATATTCGTAGAAAATAACATTGCTTATGCATGCGATCATTCAGTTGTGAAAGAGATCTCGGGTTATGCATGAGATGAAGGATAAAAAGTTACGATAGTATTACACAATCTCCATAATTCACTTCTTATACTATTTTATTTTTGGTAATTATAAAATTTTAAATATTGGCTATAATATGAAGACGTTGGCAGTGGCAGATCCAGCAATTTTTGAAAAAAAAATGGGGGGGGGGTGGTGTCCAGGTGTCCAACACTCATGCATAGAGGCACTTCAAACCTGGCAACACTGAGTTTTCAACAGTTCTATGGGGGACTTTGACAAGCCAAAAACAAACAAACAAACAAACAAATAAAACAAAAACACAAACAAGCAAGCAGTAGATATACCTAGATATAGTAGATATAGCCATACTTCTAGTACTAGTACTGGTAATTTTTGAAATTATAAACTTTGTGGCCGATTTGATGCTTTGCATCAATTTTATTTGGATAAAAGATGGAAAGGATCAAGAAGACAACATCACATTACAGGTGCTAGTGGACAGGACCCCCCCCCCCCCCGATATTCAACCCCCGAACTCGTTGGACACTGTTTTTTCTCACAAATTATATTTATTACATTTATTCATCATGTATACCATAGGGGAAAAATCGTCAAAAAACAAAAAAATAATCGTTCAATAAAAAATACCACTATTAAAAAATCCAAATAAAATTGATGCAAAGCATCAAATCGGCCGCAAAAGTTATAATTTCAAAAATTACGAGTACTTTCTTATTTTCAAAAGCATCAATGAGTCATCAATGAATCAATAAAAAAAGTCAATGATGAATGATAAGAATGTATGAATGAGGATGTAGACCTCTCAAGATGAACCACATGCTGAAACCCTGCAAGGATCTTTGCCTGACACGTGATAATACCCATGGTTTCTGCAGAATAGGCTACTCAAGGCGCGTAGTATGATGGAAAAAATGTAAGAAAAATCTTTGTTGTCACATCTGTAGCACATTCAAAACAATTTTTACTGCAGTGTTGTTGAAAAACTTTTTATTCACCTTGCAACTTTTACCACTTCATTATTATCCGGAAAATCATGACGATTTCCTTTCATATCTTGAACACTCCCTGGTTTGGGAGTACCTATTGTACAAACTCTTTCTATATAACCATTTATTATTAATATCCAGTTAGAAATGACAATGAAATTGAAACAACAACAATAAACGCTCAGTTTAAAGCAATTTTTTAAAATTAAGATTATTTTACAGAACTGATGAAAAGTAACGTTTCATTTCCCTATAATAGAGATCGGCCGCTGCTGCTGAAAAAGTCAAAATGTGCTTGCAAAAAGGACTGAACATCATTGGCGGATCTAGAAGGTGGTTCCTGGGGTTGATCCCCCCTTGATTTTTGCAGAGAGAGAGAGAGAGAGAGAGAGAGAGTTATGTAACATGGATATTTTATTACGTCTTATATTTTGAATAAAATAAATTCTTTGAATAAAAAAAAATAATTTCGAATAAAATAAATACACTGTACATGTTGTTCAATCTCTGTCCTTTCTGATCGCTATAAATAGAGTTCCCTCCTTTAATATGCTTTCCTCCGAGTACCGTCACGTGACATGCAATCCCAGCCCTGCGTGGACTACCAACACGTCCTATACAATGTTTCACTTTGAAACCAATGGAAGATCCCAGCGAATTCTAGCAACATGTATATCTACTGCTTGCTTGTTTGTGTTTTTGTTTTATTTGTTTGTTTGTTTGTTTGTTTGTTTTTGGCTTGTCAAATTCCCCCATAGAACTGTTGAAAACTCAGTGTTGCCAGGTTTGAAGTGCCTCTATGCATGAGGGTTGGACACCTGGAAACCACCCCCCCCCCCCCCATTTTTTTCAAAAATTGCTGGATCTGCCACTGCCAACGTCTTCATATTATAGCCAATATTTAAAATTTTATAAGTACCAAAAATAAAATAGTATAAGAAGTGAATTATGGAGATTGTGTAATACTATCGTAACTTTTTATCCTTCATCTCATGCATAACCCGAGATCTCTTTCACAACTGAATGATCGCATGCATAAGCAATGTTATTTTCTACGAATATTTGTCAAATTATACACATATCGAAGTCCCAATTTTGGTGGATAGGATGCACTTGTAGCATACTCATGGTGGACATTGAATTTTCAAGGTTAGTTGAGATTAAAACGAATTTTAGTCGGCGAATACTATTTTCAATCAGCGTTTTCGCTCTACCAGCCCTTGCTTCAAAACAAATATCGTCGCTAATCGACAATCACTGCGTTTTATGAGAGTGTAAAATTAAAGAAAAATAAATTGCTCATGGAATCACATTCTTATATTTTAATAAAAATATCAATTATTGCCTGAATCGGGTCCATTTACTACCTGTGTACTGGAATTATTCGCATCAATTGCACAACCGGAAATCGATCTCTTTTGATTGTTATACACAACTGCTGGTTGTGCAATTGATCGATTAGCAGGCGTGTATCTTATCCTGTACACACAAACACTCTGAAACTGATTTTTAAACAAAATGTTTGATTTTTTAATTGATAAGATACATGTTGTCTTATATGTCTAAGTTTTCAACAATTATTGGCGTCATCAATGGTATCAACTGCACCCAATTGTTAGCAGACTTTTTTTTTTTTTTGCATTTTAATGAAGCAGAATCCATTTATATCAAAACCTATAGGATATCAATCTAGAGAGAAAAAAAATTTTAAAGGCGTTATAACGCCTTTCGAAAAGGCGTAATAACGCGAAAAAAGGCGTTATTACGCCTTTCCATTCCAAAAGGCGTAATTACTCCCTTTTAAAAGGCGTTTTAACGTCTTTCTAAAAGCGTTATTACGCCTTTCCATTCTAAAAGGCGTTATTATACCTTTCCAAAGGGCGTTATAATGCCTTTCCAAAACGCGTTATTACGCCTTTCCAAAAGGCGTTATTACGCCTTGTATTTTCAATACATGACTAAATATATTTAGCCCAACCGAAGGGGGGGGGGGATCTTACCTTTGGGACATGAATTTCACAATTTGATATAAGACTAATTTCTCAAGAAATAATTTAAAACAGATAGCAGTTAGATTTCCAGGAAAAAAGATTTTTAAATGCGTCATATATATTTTCAATGTTGAACCAACTAAGTCCTTCTTTATCAATAATACCAGACATACCTCTACCAAGGGTAATTGATTTCAATTGCTCATTATACACATGCAAAAAGTTTGCCTGCTTTTTTCCAGGAAGAGAGAAAAATATCTTCAAATGACATGAGTATTAACACATGGCAAGCAAATAAGCTCCAAGATACATCTGCCTATATCCTAGATCTTCACAAGTAGAGTGCTGCCTTCTCTTAATACGAATGCAAACAGTTGTCAGTGAGATGTGGAGGAATATAGAGAATTGCATAATTATATCTATTAGCACAAAATAACGGCTTTCCATTTTCCTTTTCAAGAAGGCCAGTAGTACGAGTGCGAATGGGGTACCCCCCTCCACACAAACACACTTTTTGGGGAAAAGTCTTGCTACAGTTTAAATATTATAATTAAGTATTGGTTGCTTGGTTCCTGAACATTTTGTTGCAGTATGTAAAACTGTGGCAAATTACTGCATTTAAATAAAGTTTTACCGAGAAGCCCCCCCCACGAGTTTGGCCAGTAGAGTGGGGTTGGGGGGGGGGGCTATTAAAAGCACGGGCCCGTTAAATGTAAAATAATGCTTATTCAAAAAGCGTAATAACCCTTTTGGAAAGGCATAATAACGCTTTTTAGAAAGGCGTAATAACGGTTTTTGGAAAGGCATAATAACGCCTTTTAAAAGTGTAATAACACCTTTTTAAAAGGCGTAATAACGCCTTTTTGAATGGAAAGGCGTAATATAACGCCTTTTAGAAAGGCGTTATAACGCCTTTCTACGCGTTATTACGCCTTTTCAAAAGGCGTTATATAACGCCTTTTAATTACTCAAGCCCTAGAGGGGCTTGAGTTATCTAAAACGATGCTAGGTCATCGAT